GGAATTCTGTAAAATTCATTAAGAGTGTTTCCTAAATGTCCAGGAAGCAACAAACAGAATCTGAAGCCACAATCCATTATAAATACTTGATCTCAGCTGACTCTGATCTGCATATGCATGAGATAAAACTCCATAAGGGAAGAACCATTCGAAAGTAGTAGGCTGCACAGCAGGATGGGAATAATTCACATTCCTAACAGCCAGAATGGAAAAACCTCCTAATATATGGGGCGAGTAGAGTTATCAGGAGGATAATCTACACCCTGGAAATGGGGGTTTATTGAATCCTAGAGGAAAGTCTGTCTAAATCTACTCTAACAAGACTTAAAAGCAAACCTGGAAAGGGTCAAAATGATCTCAGATAACTACATGCCCAAAAAAAGGTCCAACACACTTTAAAGGAATACAAGAAAATCCAGCACTCGCCACAGTAACATTCACGTGTATTAGTTTTCTAGGGATGTTGTAACAACTTACCACAACTTGGTGTGGCTTCAAACAGAAATGTATTCTCTCACTGTTCTGGAGGCCAGCGCCTCAAATTAAGCAAGGAGAAAGCAGAGGGAGAGTGGTGTGATCCGGATGCCGCACTGGCTGCGGGTGGCGCAGAGAAGTTCCCCGACCTTGAGGGGCCAGCCGAAGCCGTGCTGGAGGAGGGCGAGCTCCAGCACAGGAGTCTGTTCAACGTGCCTCAGCTTGTCGAATGACTTGGGGCCCTTATGAATATTGATTTTTGGATGGTATTATGGTTGAAGTTGTAAGGAACATCTGCTGAACAATGCTGGTTAATGTTCTTTCAGTACACTAGTTTCAAGAACCATTGAGAATTCTTCAGGGACAACTATAATAATGAAAAACCCCTCTGGGAAGGTAGTACAAAGAGGAACTCCCCTAAATGTCGTGTAACAGCCTGGCAGACTGCTTAACCCAAGACATGGTATCTGGCAAGCGCCGCTATGAAGACTGAAAAGTGTATGTCCAAGAAAATGGCACTTCCACCGTGATGAAGCCCAAGCAGCTCGGCAAGCGCTGAGAAAGAGAAGAAACTGTTTCACGTTTGTGAAGAGTGGGCAAAATCTGACCAAGTGGCTCTTGTGGAACATCTCATTTCCCAGACCTGTCATTACCAACATGGGCACATAAACTCATGTTTTTAAACTTGTATTGCAGAAAGATTTCTGGAACGTACTGTGCAAAATATTCTGTCATATCTATAACACCAGACCACTGTGTGCAAAAAATGGTATGTTATAGAAGATACTCATCAAGAGAATGGTCAGGACAGATTTTCTAAGACAAGACCTAGCAGAATAAGAAGAAAATAGAAATAGTTGTGTCTCCCAAGTTTTTTTTTTTTCTTTCAAATCATTTTAATAACCTGGCCGTGAGTAAAAATCATGATTGTCTCGCACAAGCGTGATAAAAGGTAGCGACACTGGATTCCAAAGAGCAAGGCTAGTAAGAAGGCTTCAGGACACAGATTGAAGAGCTTGGTTTAGGAAAGTCTCAGAGGGGTAGCAGGCGGCAGGGGCAAACATGAAATTTAAGGGGCCCTCAAAGGGCAGGGCATGGTTGCTGGGTCATCAGCACCAGTAAACACTTCTTGATGGTGATTCAATGTCAAGAGTGTTTGTCGTCTGGGGAGAGCCGAGCAGGATGGGCCGAGCAAGTCTTTTGTCCCATGGGGCAGACTTCCTCAGGGTATAGACCCAGTCTCCCTGTTCTTTGAGGTAGTGGTAGAGAAATGTGACCGTGCTGAAGCCAGAGGGTCCAACTCCTTCTGCCGTTTCTTTTACAGAGCTTTCATTTATCCTGAAACAGTGAGATAAAAAAATCTTGATGGAGATCGGGGAGACATGATTTATGCAGAATCCACTGCCAAATTAAAACAAGCAAAGAAGTTATTGTGAATATAGTGATGCTCAGAAGAGAGTAAATGGTCTTCAAATGAGAAGATAAAACATTGGATAAAAACACACTGGAATACACGCAGATTCTCAGGAGCCACGTGGCTTTTGTCAGTATGTGAGAGAATGGTCATAACTCCACTGGCAGAATGTGGGCTGTTGGCATGTGAAATACACTGGGCTCCTCACTGTACAGCAATTTTGCACATAAATGTGAGGAATGGTATGATGGTGCCATGCTCCCAAGACTGTCCCTTTGCTTTGGGGGATGTAATGTCCCCAGTTATCACCTTCCTGGATGTTGGTTGTGGAGTTCAGTAACAAAGGCATTGTTTCTACATCAGGAGGTAGCATTGTAAGTGATGAACACAGTAGTGTAAGCTGTCAGAACCTAAAGTGGTAAGAGTGTGGCATTGCCCACTTGCAATACCAGCATGGGCTGGTAATGAGTGATTCATCTGGCCCCATCGGGTTGTGGGACTGTAGTGTGCCAGGACTGCCATAACAAAATGCCATAGAGCAGAGGACTTAAACAACAGACGTGTATTGACCACAGTTCTAGAGGCTGAAAGGTTAGTTTCGTCTGAGCCCTCCGTCCTCAGTTTTCTGACTCCTGTCTTCTCGCTGTGCTCTCACATGGCCTTTTCCTCTGTGCACATGTGATCCTGGTCTCTCCTCCTCTTTTTATAAGGACAACAGCCCATTGGTTTAGGGGCCCACCCATATGACCTCATTTAATCACAAGTACCTTCTTAAAGGTCCTATCTTCAAATAGTTACATTGGGGTTAGGGCTTCAATTTATGAATTTGGGGGGCGACACACAATTCAGTCCATGGCAGGGACACAGAGTATGGAATGTATCCCAAGGACTAAAGGCCCATGCAGAATTGGTGTGCTGTATTTGATTGTGTAACGAGGAAAATCAGTGGGTACTTTAGTAGCAAAATTGAAATGTAGACTCTTACAGGTCTTTTGGACCCCTGTACCTCTGAAGGGACTTTTTTCAATAGAGCCTGGTAGAAAAATCAGGAAAAGTTTTCAGATTCCAGTTTGATAAGTTCCAGATTGTCAGTAGGCCGTACAAGTATATAAGCCTGAGGTGGGGCTTCCTAAATGACTCTGTTGCCTAAGCTGGACCTCTCCTGCTTTCGTTCCCAGCAGCCACTTCTGGCTCCAGATAAATAGGCATACCTTGACCTCATACTTGCTTAAGATCATCAAAGCCATGCTGTCTCAGTGTTACCAGAGCCAGGCTGAGGAACTAAAGGAACAAACCTCCAGTTTTCTGGTACTGGATTCCATCATGAAAGGAACACAGTGGTCCTGCAGCTGACTGAGGATAGTTGACCTTCTCAGCACTGCTGACTACTTGAGTACTATTACCCAAAAATGTGTCTTGTCTTTCATGAGTGTGTAGGATTTCCTGTTCCTCCTTTTTTCCTCTCTTCTGCTGCTTCCCCACGTTTGATTCTAGATAAATAAGCCAGTCAGAGAAAGACAAGTATCACACGATCTCATTCGTATGCAGAGTCTAAAGAACAAAATAAACTGATGAACAAAATAGATCCAGGGACACAGAAGCATGGAACAGACTGAGGGATCTCAGAGGGAAGGGGTGTGTGTAGAGGGGTCAATGGGGGAAAAGGGGATCAGTGGGGAAAAGGAGTGAATGGAGGAAAAGGGGACATCTGTAATACTTTCAACAATAAAGATAAATTTAAGAAAAAGTAAAATCTCCTGGTTAATGTGTTAATAAATGCTGTATTGTAAATTAATTAAAAGAGTTGTGAACTGCTATAGAACCCTCTGCCTAAACTCTTCTGTCTTCCTGTTGCCCATATTATGCTGAACTCTCTCAACATGCGTGATCTGGCCACTTTTTTCTTCTGCAGCCTCAACTTTCCCCACCTTCCTGGGGTCTTACCTCTCCTCCCCGGTTCCCCATACTGAAATGTTTGGGGGTCTCTTTCCTGGACTCTTATACACGCTGTACAGTGTGCCTGAGACATACTTTTGATCTCTTCCCCGGCTCATTCCTGATTATCCTTTATTCTCCTGCAAAGCCTAAATGTAACCCCTTCCAAGAAAGTATCCTGTTTATCATCGTATATTTAGCCCCCAGCACAGTACCAGGCACGTTAGGAATTCAGTAAATACTTGTTAGTGAATGAGTAGTATTCAACCTAAATGCAAAGTATTATAATAATTTTTGATTATATGTATAATTGTATAACTGGTAAATTTTCAAATCCCATTTAAATAGAAAAAAGCAGTAGTAGTTTATTCTTCAGTATTTATATTATATACCCCTTTATACAATGTTTCACATTTAAAATGGGTCATTGTCTGCCTCCTTATAATTGCTGTAAGGGATTTGTAAGCGCCCGTGTGGTCATTCATTTTGATTTGAGTTTAAAAAAAAAAAATCAAATATGGTGACTGTTGTAACAACACAGAGAAGAGGATTATCATGGAAAGGCTTTTCCTCTTAAATTCCTGTCTGGTGAAAATGAGCTTATCAGAGTATTTTAAAAGGTAGTCAGAAGATTTAGGTTGTTGATATAAAATATCAAAAGCATGTGTTTGTAGAGAAATATAATTCTAAAAGAGACATTAACAATATACCAAGTGATCACAACAAAGTTATGTAATTGGGTTGTTCCATTGAGCTCTCCTTTTTGTAAAATTGGTGAGGTTCCGAAGGAATTTTTTTCAGATGCATCTGCTCGGCACAGAGAATGGGAACTAAAGGTAGTATCAGACAATTCTAAGAAAGTGAATGGTGTGTGACCCTTTTTTTTATTTGCTTCACAAGTAATTTACTTTAAAAAAAAATTAACATCTGCTATTTTGAAGCTAATCTTAGTGTATTGAATGCTCTTAACCATTTCTCAATCCCACAGTCTTTTTATCTTGCTTCTCCTGCTGTGTTCCCACCACCCCTGATCCCATTAGCAAACCTTGAGACCGCCTCAGACTTACCAAAGTACTGCTTTGGTTTCAGCTGCTCTTCTGCAAGAGGAAGTGAATGTTGGGGGTTTTCTCTGTGGTACAGTTGTGATAAAGCTGTGGTGGTCTTATCTCTCTCTTAGGTAGTGGCTCTTTATGACTACACAGCGAATCGATCAGATGAACTAACCATCCATCGCGGAGACATTATCCGAGTGTTTTTCAAAGATAATGAAGACTGGTGGTATGGCAGCGTAGGAAAGGGACAGGAAGGTTATTTTCCAGCTAATCATGTGGCTAATGAAAGTAAGTTTTATGCTCCCTTCCTGGTTTACTAATATGGCATAACTGATAGTAAAGATGGTATCATTTTCTACCCTTTAATTTACTGTCTTTGTAACTTTTGCATATGTTTACCAATGAGTATTGCTTTTCATTTTCATGCTGCAAAAAAAATAAAAGGGGGAGGCACTAGTACACCAGAAAGCTATTACATTCATCCCAGGCGACCTGCCCATCTACCTACAACCTAGTTCTCCAGCCCCTTTCCCCTGCCACCTGCTGCATGCACTTCATGCACAGTTATGTCAGCTCTTCTCTTGCCACAGTGTCTCCTCGGTTGACAGGCACTTTAAGAACCTCTAGTTCCCCAACTTCCATTCCTTTCCTTCAGATACCTCGGCCTAGCTGTTACCGATTACCTACCTGCAGTAGGTTATTTCATTCTTGAGTAAATTAAGCCTTCCTTTGTGAAAGGAAAAAGAAAGGAGCTGGAGGAGGAATTCTAAATACAGTTTCTGAATGTGGTAGATTTCCTACTAGCTGTAGATTTCACCTTGCGAGGTGAAAATCGAACACAGAGAGCCTGAAAATAAAGACTAGAAGAACAGGGAGAGAGACAGTAATGCTTCTTCAGAAGAATGCTTCCTATCGGCAGTCAAAGTCATAGTGTGGTAGGAAAAGCACAATTCTCAGGGGTCGGGAGCACTGATTTCAAATCGAGCTTCTCCACAGCTGCTACTGATGTGCCTCAGTTTCCTCCTATAAAATAAGGAAGTTGAGCTCTGTCACCTCTAAGTTTTCTCCCAGAAATCCTAAAATCATTTGGTTCTGATTTCAAATGTAGTATAGGCAGCCTAGAGATTACTCTGTTTTGCATATTTCTTTTTAAGTCTTTTGTTTCTGCAAAGAAGTAATTATTATAAATTATAGTTGCTTTTCAGACTAGCCTGTGAAACCCCATTTAACCTAAACAGTGGCTGAACAAAAGTACTATTGATTCCTAAACTAAACTCTGAATTTTTGAGAGCAGAAGAAGAAGAATTCCTTCCATGAGTACTGAAGGAATTCCTTTCATGAGTGCTGAAGCCCAGATAAAATACTTTCTCTTTGGCACTTTCTACCACCTTGTCTTCACCCTGGCACTTCCCAGTGCTCCCCTGCCCCGTCTCTCAGGGGCTCCCAGTCTCATTGCCGCTTCCTTCCTCAGCTTATCTGCTGCTCTCAGCAAACTCCTCCCCTCAAAAGTTCCAAATGTCTCAAAAATTACCCACTTCTCTCTCACACAACAAAATTCTGTAGTTCCTCTGTGTCACTCTTCTAATTCTCTTCCCGAGTAGTAAATGACTGATAGCTCTAAAACTCTATCGCATGTATATTTTTATGTTTAAAAGAAGATAGATGCATAATGAAGAAAACATAAGGCAATGTGGAAGGAGGAAGTTTTAGGACAGGTTACTATCCAGTCATCTCCCAAAAGATCTGCACTTCTAACTTCCAGATTGTCTCAATATCCAAGTTTCTTCCCTCTCCTTCCCAGTGACGGCTTTCCCACAGGGTCAGCAGCTGGAATGCAGTTTCTGGTTTTAAATCACGAGCCGCCTGCACAATCATAGTCACTCTGGAGGATATCTGTCATTTTAACTAGATATTGCAATTCATTGTTAACCCAAATACAAATGAAAACATAAATTTTTTTAACTTGACAATGTGAAAAGATTGTGTATTTCCAGGCAGGGTGGTATTAGGTGCTTTAACTTTAGAATCTAGTTAGTTTGCAGAAATAACCTCTTAGGCTTCCAAATCTGGGGAGGCTATAGATATTTGATTACAGTGGGTTAAAAATCCAGTAAAATTTTTCTTCCATGGTATCCCAAGTGAGACTTCTGAAGTATACGGTAATGATGGTTAGTGGTTATATACAGAAATTAATGGTCTCAGGTAGTGACTATTCTTCAATTGCCATAATTCCTCATTGTATCCCAAAATAATTGATGTTTTGTCATCAGTTATTGCTTGTTGGAAAAGTCTTATAAAGTCCAGAACAAACAGAAAAAATCCTCAGATACCTGAGAGTATAATTGAATTCTCACTTCATCAGAGACTTTTTTCTCCTTTCGTCCTACTTATTACCTGAATTTAAGAAAATGTTGCGTGCTCTGTTTTAACAGTAGAGAAAAAATGGCTGTCAACAGAATATTTCGCTCTAAAAATAGTAGAAGTTGTCCTTTATCTTTATCCAAAGCCAAGTATACAAAGCAAATGATCTAAGGAAGTACATATCTGAATAGAATCTGTACCAACTGTTCAATGAGAGCCATATCCCCTAAAGAACTACACAATGGAAGATACTGGTACCCCATTATAAAGAACTTACTCCCTTTGTATCTTAAGCCACTGGAAAGAAAAACATGATCAGCTTCCCTTAATTACATTTAACATCTTTTCCAATAAGAGATTAAAAAAGCCAGTGATGAAATCGATCCATACACAAAGCCAGTTAATGCATCTCATAATCTTAGAATTTTGATTAGGTGAATTTTAACAATTTATCTCAATTCAGAGTTGCCCAAGTCATTTAACCAAAATAGATTTTCCTTTTAGCCCTTTAAAATTCCCAGCTGACTTTTTAGATTCAGCACTGTGTGTAGACTAAATAGATTATGTAGATTATAATTTTACATTATAAGAATCTCAGTTTCAACATTGTGAATAGATTCACTATCGTGTACAGTCCTTGCCTCATGCTTATTTCATACCACCTTCTCCACATTCCTGCCTGGCAAAATCCTACCTGCTCTTCAGAGTCCAACACAGCTACTGTTTCTGCCATTAGGCATCTGCCATCCCCACATCAGTTTGTCTTTGTTACTACCTCTCTTTCAAGGAATGTCACATTCTATTACATATCACAGTTCCCTGTGAGCATATGTCTCTGCCCAGACTGTAAGCTCCTGAGAGCAGAGACTGCTTTGGTCATCTTCATGTCTCCTCCAGCAGTGCCTCGAAGGTACCACGCATATAGGAGGTTCCTGGTTAATGTACGTGGAGATAAAATGAAACACCTGCATAACTACATAAGTGAAAATGACACCTTCTGTGTTTCTGAAACCCTGCTGATCAAAACTTTACAGTTATAAGTTATGTTCTTTTGATAACTAATGTGTAAGACCACAAATCGCTTTAGCAGTAAGTGCAGGGAGCTTATTTTTACACCAGCTGCTTTAGTGTCATGTCTGTCCCCCCTCCCCATGGTTGTTTTTCCCTGTTGAAACAGTGCTCCTCAATTTGATTACTGGAATTTCTTTTTCCAGCACTGTATCGAGAACTGCCTCCGGAGATAAAGGAGCGATCCCCTCCTTTAACCCCCAAGGAAAAAACCAGAATGGAAAAACCCTTTTCAACTTCTCAAAAGGTAATGTTTTCGAGACTATGTATAGCATTTGTACTTTGATTCTCACTCCCCCTGGAGAAAATATTACTTTATTTTTCATGCTTATATCCTTTATTTTTTACATTATTATTTCTCATGATATTGGCACCAACATTATAAAATATATAAGGCAAATACTATTATCGCCATTTTCCAGATCAGGAAACTGACGAGGCTCAGAGAGTAAAGTAGACCTCAAGTCAGAGCCCAAGTAATGGGGCAAGGACCCAGACTTTAAGTGTGATGCTATTTCTACCCTGTACTTGTTTCTGTAACGGTGATACTGACACTTATTTTCCCCACCTGAGGGGTACACATGTATGCTGAACTTTGAAGCCAACAGAATAAAGATGTTCTATCTTCCTGGAGCATTCCTTTTACTTGCTGGTAATTTAAAATGTTTTCAGATTGAAATGAATATGGGTATATTATCAGTCAGAGAAATGTCATGTTTTTTAGCCTGGGCCTTCAGATCCCTCAGTCAGTGTTCTTCTGATGTTAGTAGTACTTTGGAACAAAGTTTAATAAGCAGTGTGCCATCATGTATCTTACTTAGTGAACTTATTTTATTCTGTGACATTAGCTTTTGCCTTAGAATGAATAACTTCACTTCTTGATACCATGAACTGGTGTATAGAGTTTTTTGACAGTCGAACCTGTCATGTGTCATTAGTCATTCAGCCTATATCTATGGAGTGCTTACGCTGGCGCTGAGCATTCAGTGAGGAAACAAGACTGAGTAGGCAAAGCACTTGCTCTTGAGCTGGCAGGCTGGCGGGTGAGACACCTGCAAACGGGCAATTACAACGGACTATGGTAGGAACTATAATGGAGATACGTGCACAGTTTATTGAGAACACACAGAAAGAAACCCTCTAAATCTGCCCGGTGGAGTCCAGGAGGAGTTCCCCAAGGAACTCATGCTTGAACTGAGGCTTATAGGATGAAAAAGTATGTGCTAGGTTAGATGATCTTAGGAAAAGCATTGTAACAAAGGGAACAACTTGAGTAAGGTGTGGTAAAGTGTGGTTATTTTGTGGAGTATAGGGCCTAATGGAGAGAAGGGGAGGAGAAATGCAGGAGTCAGACGGCAGATCACGGAGAGCGCCTAGTGTACTCTGCTAAGATGCTTAGATTGCATTCGTCAGACAAAGGGGATCCCCAGGAGAAGGGAATTCAGGAAGTGACATGTGCAGATCTGCATGTTAAAAGTATTCTAGTGGCAGCATAGTGATAAGGTTAGCGGTAGCTAAGACCTGGGACAGGGAAGTAAGTCAGGAATCCATCAAAATAAAATGTAGAAGCCTGCACTAGTGGGAATAGAGGGGAGGGTATAATTGACAGGATTTTATAACTGATTGGATGTGATCAGTGATGTTGGAATCGAGGAATTGTGCTAAGAGCCCTGGCTTATATAAGTGAATGGATAGTGGTACCACAGAAATAATAAAAGCATAAGGAAGATTTGGGGAGATAGAAACAAGGAATGTAGGGAGTAGGATGTGATGAGTTCAGTTTTAGATATCTTGATTTGTTAGTAGTGTTTATAGTGCTCCCAGGTACAGGGAGCTCTAGGGAGCCAGAAATACGGGACTGGAATTTGAAAGAAGGCAGGGCTTCAAAATAAAATGGGGAGGCTTGAGGGTGTTCATTGTCTTATATTAGTAGAGTTGAAGCTTGTAATGAAGGAGCTGGAATAAACATTGTAGACTTCTGAGAGAAAAGTCTAAGGACAGAATTCCAGTTGAACACTGTTATTTAAGGGACAGTCAAAGGAAGAGAAGATTAAGAAAGAATTATCAAAGGGGAAGGAAAGATCCAGAAAAAAAAGAAGTCTCCTGGAAGCCAGGGAGAAGAGAGGTTCAAGGAGGGTATCTAGTCAGTAGTGTGAGAAATGGCCAGTCACCTGGGTTGTCTAATAAGCATTTGGTAATGCAGAGGACCTTGGCACCTTTGCACTGGTATCAAGGGTTGATGATAGTTCAATAAGGATTGAAGAGCAGAATGGGGCCTCAGCAAGTGAACTCATTGGAAATCATTCCCAGAGCTTCACTTGAAGAAAAAACGTGAAGGAGTGCCTGGAGGGAGACCCACTTCTAGCAATGACTTTTTAAATACTGGAATGACAGTATTTATTCTGAGAAGACAAAGCCAATGCACGGGTTCAGGTTCAAGATAGATAAAGAAAGCACACATGGATCTTGGAGAAAGCAGGTGTTTATTGGAAAAACAAGTTGATAGATTAGTATTGCCTTAGAGCAGTGGTTCTCAACGGAGGGTTATTTTGCCTCCAGGAAGGCATTTGGCAGTATCTGGAAATATTTTTGCAAATATCTGCAAGGAGGGTGACACTGCTACTATCTAGTGGGTAGAGGTCACAAATGTTAATAAACACCCTAGAATGCACAGGACAGCCCTCAACAAAAGATTATCTGGCCAAAAATGTCAACAGTGCTGAGCTTAGAGCAGTACCCCGCTGAAACAAATAAATATCAGTGAGGATGCAGATAAGTTAACAAAGTGGAAGTCTAGAAATTAAGGATGTCTACATGTTCTGAAAAACAAAGGAAGGTCCACTTCAAATGTGAGGGCAAAAGGCATGAGATAAGAAGAAGAATGGTGACGGTTAGAATACCTGAAAAACAGTAGGAGCAGGAGCCCATTGGGGACATAAAGAGAGGAGTTCTGGGAGCTGCTGTTTGAGTTCCATAAAAACATAGGGGACGTAATTCTAGGTAGTTGAATTTTTTCTTCAGTAGTGCTCAGCATCTAGGACATAGCAGTGGAGAAGACAGAGTTGGTTTGATACATAATTGGAGCTGTGGGTATGATAGAAGCCAAGAGGATAAGAGACTGATAGCATTTGAGAGAGTCACTGGAGTGACACATTACGGAAGAGCAAGCCAGACTGGAATGGATGTGGGATCAGAAGCCTGGCCAACTTAGAAAGCAAGGTTCTCTGCAAGGCTGCCCTAAGCCGCCGGTGCCCGGGTGGAGGAGGAGTGTCATGCAGTAAAGGAGTTAACAGCTTGGAACTCTGGCCTGAAAATGAAGAAACTTGCTTAATTTAAATGTTAAGCAGCTCAAGGTTATGATAAATTCATGAAGCTATATGTAAGAGCTCAAGCCAAATTGAAGGATCTGTTACTTGAATTGAGCTGGCCAAGGAACTAGGACCAAGTGTTGCATAGATTTTCTCTTACCTTGCTGACCGCTCATGAGTATACATGTGTTTCTGTGTCCAAGCGTTGCTGACCAGTCACGGGATAACTCATCTCTGCGCTTACATTAATTTAAGTAATTTTAAATACCTTGTTGACTGGTCACGACTGAAAAGTAACTGGCCACACGGGCGAGTTCTGCCTCTAGATAGCCGGTCAGCAAGGTGTTAAAATTCCAGATGATTGCAAAAGTTAGGGTGAAGGGGACACTGAACCGAGAGCTGAAATCCTTAATTCTTGTTGTAGAGCAGATGTCTCAACCATAGCTTTATATTGAAATCACCTAAGAAATTAAAAATATATATACTGATGCTTGTCCCCACACTGACAGATGGACTTAAATGGTCTGGAATGGGACCTCAGCGTGGGTAGATTTCAGAGGCCTTCCAGGTGATTTTAATGTGCAGCCAACATTGAGAACCATTGTGTTAGAGTGACCACAACGTCCCAAGGTAACAGCTGCAAAGATAAATAGAGGGTGTTGGAGCCAGGTGTGACGGCACCCAAGGAGGAGTGCTTTGAATGTATAGTAGCCTAAAATCAGCAACAGAGAGCTGAGGCCAGTGCTAGCTCCAGGCCCCTTTGGTTCATGGTTGAGTTATGGGAGAATGAACAGCCTATACTGCAAGGAACTGAAAGAAAAATGGTTTCTCAGTAAAACGCCAGTTTCACATACAGCAAGGATATAAGGCAGTGGCTGCCCGTGGTGGCATGGGGACTGCAAGGGATGCAGTTGAAAGGATTAGCAAGGAATTTGACTATGGGCAAATGCTACATGTGTAATATTATCCACGTTTGGAATTCACCAGCTTTAAGCATTTACGAAGATGATAATGTAAATTTTCAAAATATTTGTAACATTGGCATAGTCATCAGGACAGCTGATGATATTTGTAGTTTGTGTCAGGAACTGTGTAAGAGGCTACGATGGACACAGTCCTCAGTTGTAGTAGTTCACTGGTATCCCTGGCGCTGGCGTATGCTGAGCTTGGAAATTGGGGTTTCCTAACCCCCACCTCTGTGTGTTCCTGGCCGATAGCCTTGAACTAATTTGGACTCAGCCAGAGGAGATCTAAGGAGCTCTTGCTGGCTGCCTGTGACATTGGCATTGCCCCTTCCTCTTCCTGCTGCTCCTGTGTTACCATGGTACAGACCTCTCCCCTGCTGCCAAGACCCCCAGCTCTCACTGCCTGTGCCACTCCTCTCCTGGGACTCACTGCACTGTAGTCTCAGTTTAGACTGTAGTTGATTTTCTGGTCTTCTGCGCCTTCTCCTCTCTTAGACTGATCTTCATGCTTAACATACAGCTTTGTATTCATATCACAGCAGACCCGTTCTTGAACCTTGAGGAGTACTTCAGGCTAACCCACTGCTGCCTAAACTCAGATTCTAATAGGTCTCAAGGAACTTGCAGGCATGCAAAGTAAAACGCTGAAAAACATAAAATAGGTGAAGCAAGGGGGTTGCAGAGGATGAGAATCCTTTTGGACAGGGAGTAGAAAGGTCCTCATGGAGGAGATGGAACTTGAATTGGGCTTTAACGTTTAAGACACATAATTTCTTTTGTTGAAGAACATGATTTGTCTGCTTTGTCTGAATCCATGCATTAGAATAGACTCCTACATATATTTTTCTTCTTACGAATTTACCACTTGTATAGTTGGACAATGTTTTACTTCCCTGTGGGAGGAAGTGTAAAGAATGATCTACACTTGCGTAAAAAGAAGTCCCTGAGAGCCAGTAATGTTGTCCCAGGTAATC